TCATTTTATATGTTGAACGCAAATGAAAAAAAATTATAAAAATCAATTTACATGTAATAATAACCTTTGCTAGATATTTCCAAGTCAAATAGAAAAAAAAAGTTGTTAATTAGAAAGGTCTATACACTTTTTTTTAAATTATAAAAAATGGTCATTCTTATTAAACATAAATGAACGCCATTATTGTGTAAAGAAGACATGAGTTGTTTACAAAATAAGTATAAATTTACCCATATTCAGTTAACTTAAATTTTTATTCGGAATTTCAAACTACTAGTCTATAACTTTTTTCACATAAATTGCAAATTGTGAATTTGATATACTTTAAAACATTTTATTCCCCAGTCCACAGAATTTATTTTAAATTGACAAATTAGTAAAAAGAATTTAAAAAACAAACAAACAAGTAGCCTACCAACAAAAAATGGAATTGCCATGATTATCGAAATGTCAGTTCAAAAAATCTTTTTTTTTTTTTTTTATTAAGCTTTCTGATAGATTCTTTTTTAGAAAAAAATATATTAATTTTAAAAAATACGTGCAACTTATTGAGACAGTTTGCTTATCATTAAAGACAAAAGCAGTTGGGAATTTAACAAATATAGGCTAATTTTTCCACATCTGTTAATTTTGTAACAAAGTTTCTTTAATAACACATTTAAATAAAACACAAACGCTATAGATATAATAATTTATGAAATGTGCACTATTTGTATGCGATCGTGTAGTTCTTAATTTAAAAAAATATATATATATCAATTTTGTAAAGTTTCCATTATACAGGCCTATAACTCAGAATATATTGGAATCGAATATATTTATAATTATGCTAATAAAAATAGTTTATAAAGCCGAATGCCATCATACAATTTATAATTAAACTGAACAACTATCCTTACTTAAAAAGTCATGCTTTTATAATGAAATATAATTAGAAAGTAGATTGCGTATGTTTGATAATTAGCAAGAACCATTATTAGAATTGTAGACCTTGATATTGATGTAAAGGTAGTTTAATACAGTGTTATCTAAGTCTTTAAATTTGTGAAGTTAAATGAATAAAAATACCGATAAGTTCGAACAACAAGAGGTAAGCCTTCGGCTTTCAACCAGGAGCGGCTGGTACGATATTTTTAATCAAAACAAAGCGATATATCATAGATTCCACTAATTGTAATCGATTAAAGGCACCATATAAAGTTCTTTTAAAACAGTTTAGAAATAGCAATTAAGTCGCTTTTAATAAATATATATAATAAAAGTGAGAACATCTCGTAAAATATTACGCTAGGAGATGTTCTCACTTTTTTTTGGCCCACCCTGTATATATATATATTTCATTATTGTGTTTGACTCGGGGGGGGGGGGTAAAAAGTGGGGGGGGGAATTGTACACAGTAATTCTACACATAAACTAACAATATGCTAAGTAAAATCTAAATTTTGGAAAGTTTCCCGGCCATTAACAGCTGATCGTTGCTTATAATAAATTCTTAGTGAATACCAAAATAATGGATGATAAGAAATATTTACATATTTTCATGTATTTATTATGTTGGTATTTATCTGAGGTCACCAGTCAAGCAAAAACATCACCAGCACCCCGGGTAGAATGGACTCGTCAACCTTGGATGGCAACTTATCTAAGAGTCTTATCTAACACTCTGAAATCAAACCCGAGTTGGAGTCACGTAGGTGGATAACACTGGTACAATGAAACATTCCGACAACTCCTGCGACGCCACTGGTTGCCTAGCTGTATCATCCAAATGATGTTCCCTTGGGTTATCCAGCGGCGTGGAGAGAGGTCATTTGCTGTTGGGAACCAGCTTATAATCCTTGAAGAATAATCTCAAGCCTTGTAGATTTTTCTGCGAAGCCCACACCATCGTCACATTGTGACGGACGGATGTCAGAAAAAAAAAAATTATCTGAGGGAATTAGTAGCATTATGAAATTCCCTAAAATACAGTATTGAAAAGTTTATTTGGAATTTCAAACTATTTAACTTCTTCAGATAAATTACACCCCCCTCCCCCACAAAATCCCTTTCATTTGAAAATGTAATAACAAGTTCTAAAATAGTGATGTATAATTTTTTTTAAAAATAAATCCTTGTAATTGCAAAAGGAATGCCAGATTTTTAAAAAATGTCATTACTTCGATCTTAAAAAAAACAAAATTAATTTAACAAATTGATTATTAAGATCCTATTTATTAACATTTTTGTTAAAATTTAGTGGCCGTTCATTATTTATGTCAATACTTAAAAAATTTTTTGCCCCCCCCCCCCCCAACCAAACTCCAAATTTCAACAACTGTCAAACTTTCAAGAACTCGATAATTAATTATGTCAAAAATTGTTTAAAGAAAATATAAATAAATAAATGTGAATAATTACAATCTACGACTAGAGTCAATTTTATAATGCAGAAGTTATTAAATATTTGATGATGTCTAAATATTTTTTATAGTAATTGTTTTGCTAGCTGTTTTTTTTTCATCTTCAAGTTGAAAAGCCGAATGTTCCTCTTTTGCGTTAGCGCGTAGGAACTGATGACAATTTATTAATGCCATATTAATATTATTATGGAACCGATGGACATCATCATTGTCTAGTTTAACCATTCAGCACTTAAAATATCAGGAGTTTTTTGTTTTTGTTTGTTTTTTTTAGTGCAATAATTGCCAGCACCTCTCTCTGTCTTTTGATAATTGCCAGCATATTTTTCTGTCTTTTGATAATTGACAGCAGTGTTTCTTTCAGAAATTTTCCCCGGGGGGGNTTTTTTTTTTTTTGGGGGGGGGGCACTTCAGATTTTTCGGGGGGGGGGGTGCCAGTAGTTCTAGTTGATTTATTGTTGGACATATTTTTCCTCGGGGTGGGGGGGGCACTTGGCTACGAACAATGAAATTAAACATCTTGGATCTGAGCATGATGAACTTGGAGACACACTGCCGCATAAGAGACAATTTGAAATTGAAATACAATGAAAATTCAGGCTCAGGATAATACTTCCAGACCAACGGATGGAGACATTGATACATTGTAAAAAATAGAAATGGCTTTCTTTGAGAATGGCGGTTCAAGAGGAAAATATCTAGAAATTGCGTATGATAGCCTAAGGTCTATTCCTCCGACCAGTGTGGAGTCAGAGCGGGTGATCTCTTCATCGGTTACTTTTGTAACCACTTGCGGTCAAAGTTAAGTGACCAAACATTATACATTTGTCATATTTACGATTTCATTATTTAAATTTGATCAAAGATTAAAACAACACCAATTATTTTGATATTTGATTAATAAAACTATTTAAATTAAAAAGTTAAGAATATTATTTTTCTTCGTTTGATTCAAGTCTGAAGTTAAATATTTGTGTTATTGTTAAAAGCTTATTAAAAATCAAAATAAGATATCTTTTCTGAATGTTTTTCATTGATAACTCCAGGGCCGGCGCTAGGGGGACGGCGAAGTGGGCCGCGCGTTGCCGTAGTATACTTATAATATACCTAAGCCTACTAATAGTTCCCAATCCAGTCAACACAATATTCAGAGTTATTCGATAGTCGAATGTCTGTAACGTGTCTTAATATCCTATCGGCGGAATATATAACGTCAACGGCCCCGCAAAATTCAATTCGCCCAAGACCCGCGCTCTCCTAGCGCCGCCCTGATAAATCCTCATCTCGACTAAAAATTCTCTATATATTGAAAATACCGGGATTCCAGTATTCGTAAACTTCAATGTCGAAAATACCGGTTTTTGGCAAAAGGGACCGGTTTTGCGACCCCTTGTTTTGAGATTGAGAGCCACTGTACAGTTTTTGAAGGGTTGGCAAGAAAATTAACTCTCCATTTTATAGAGTTATTTTATGTTACATCCGAATACTCTTGCTATCGTGGCTACTTTTGCTTTCACGTCAAAATAATTGTACTTTTACAATCTTTAAAATGATTTTGCATTAGCAGTTCAGTTTCATGATAATGCTTTTGAATTTCAGATATTAAGTCAAATGATATCGTGTTAATTGTTTGCACGCTTCCCCCTTTGCTTTGTTTTTTATGTTGAAACGGTTATATTCTTGTAAGTTAAAAAAAATATGTCAATTGTCAATATAATATTTAATATTAGATCAAAATATATTTTATAATTATACAAAAATTTAAATAAATATGATTTGTGGGGGGGGGGAGAGATCCTTTAATCGCGCCGCGATACTTAGGCCGATTTTAGCGTCCCCACCATAATAAATCAGCAAAAAAATGTGTCACACAAAATTGGTACCGGTACTTATCACATAGATTATAGTTATTGACATAGGCCTACCAGTTAAAATGCATTGAATTGAATTGCAGCATTGACACCCCTCTCCCCATGCCATAAGGACGGTATACGTGTTTGTGGGCTAGTGTAAGTTTAGGTGAATGGCATGGACCATGAATGGCCCTTGCCCTTTTTCGCATAATTTAATCATTAATAATAGGCTTATTAACTATATCATATTCCTTGTTCTATCACATAGTATATTCATTTGGCCTAAATAATGCCTATTATTACTATAGAATATAGTATATACTGAGTATAAATATTCTATCACTATTAAATGGCCTATAAATTATTCTCACGGGCATAGGAAAGGGAAGCACAGGGCATTTCCAACCAACTGAAGAAATGTTTTCATTAAAGGGGGCTGCAAAAATCTTGGCCCGCCATGGGTGGCACTAACCATGCCATAGTTACTACAGACTAGTGGTTATACTATAACAAGTAACTATATAAAACAAATAATAACATGTCTTTAAAAAAATGAAAATCCTTTTTAAAAGAAATTCCACTTTGAGATTGGGCCCTATTAAAGTGACACTTTATTAATTTGACACATTTCTTCTAACACATGTAATAATAATTGTTATACATTTCTGCTGACACATTTAATGGTAACAAACTAAAATTATTATTAACAAGAATAGAAAAAAAATATGTTAAACATTTTTTTCAGACACTTCAATGGGTAATGTTGAAGCCCATGACTTTGCTCCAGTAAGAGCAGATGAAAGAAAAATTCTCAATCTAAGTAGGAAAGTTACTCCAAAGCAATACATAAAGGTATTTAACATTGATTTTATTCTAATTGAACTACTTATTGAGACTATAATATAAAACTGTTTCATCTGCTTTTTTTTTTGTCTACTTATTTTACAAGTGTGGAAATATACATTCATGAGAAAAGTTAGCCTCATATCATTTATCTTAAAACATGCATTTATATAATAAGCTCTCATTAATTACATAACTTTGTTGCCATGCTGAAATAGACCTCTTCCTCACTTGATAACCATGATTATCACCCATCTACTATCATCTCCTCTTCCCATAGAAAATACAGCATTGTGTGTATGAGGGGTACATCAATAGATCAGAATTTAAACTTTATTTAATTTTATTTCAGCATCTACATGGTGAATATCATGAAGCCTGTCTATTGGAACTCCCGTGGAATATCAGAGATTCTGTATCACTCTATGAAACTATGACTGTGGCTTTTAACGCACTTACAGAAATTCCAGTGGAAATGCCACTTCGTCTTCCTCATTTGAGCTTCCTAGACCTAAGTCACAACCAACTTCGTTCACTTCCAGAAAGCTTTGGTCTCTTATTCCATTTAAAGGAAATCCAATTTCAGCATAATCAACTCATTTCACTTCCTGACAGTTTTGTACATCTTGTTAAATTGGAAAAGGTTAATATTTTGTTCATGGTACTAATATGTTGATAGATATTCAAATTAATAATTAAAGTTGCTTTTAAAATGTAATGCTTTTTACATTAATTCATTTTGGGGTTGTTGTATATTATTTATTTGCTACCAAGGCTATTTTCTTTACTTTTAAGCAATTCAATGTTCAAATTATTTTAAAGGGTTTGTTATGTCACAATTTTAAAAATAACTTTTGAAAAATCACTCTTGTAGATTGCCGTCGACCCCTCTCATATTTATATGTTCCAGACTCTTTATTTTATTGTATATTAATAATTTTGTTTAAAATTATGATTAATTTTTTCACTAATGCCCATTTCTGTCTTTGGTCTAATGATGGCTTTTACCTTTCTAATATGAAATCATTTTGCATGGCCAATTGTTGGGTCATTGAGTTTAATGGCTGATGCATTAGTGTTAAAGATGTATAATGGTTTATTCACTATTAGGCAGACTTATCATACAATGAGATTAGACAGTTACCAGAAAAGATTGGAACAATGGAAAGACTGGTGAGATTAAATGTGATACACAACAAGCTGAAAGAACTTCCATTGTCTCTTGGGTCTCCCTTTTCTCATGTTAAGCTTTTACTGGCACAACAGGTATTTATTTACAAATAAATAAAAATAAATTAATTTTTCACTCTTTTTAATTTTATTATTTTCATATATAACACATTCTGGGAATACAATAAATGTGGGGTTGATTTTCATGTCTCATAAAAAAAAGCAATATAATTTTCTGCTCGTAATTCCAATTTTCAATTATTACAAATTCTGTCAGTACCAAGACATGTTTAAAGAAGTGAATACCCACCAAGATACATTGCTTTGGCACTTTTCCCCTCAATTTATAATGTAGCAATTAAAAATGACATGCAGTCAACAAAAAACTCACCTACAATGGAACTACCATCTTGGGTATCACTTATAATGCTCAGAACCCTTAAACTATTTGAGGGACCTATGAAAGGCTATTCTTAAAATTATTTTTCATCTAAGCAAATCAATTAAGTACAAAACTAGGATTTCACAAAATTAATTACATTTTTTTGTTTTTAAGAACCGTCTGGAAAGTCCGCCTCAAGCTATTTGTGAAGAAGGTTCTGTTTCCACCCTTGAATATGTGCGCAAGCAGTACACCACTAACTGTTTGGAATTCCCCATCTCTACCACCATTCCACTCAACCAGTTTCCACGCTGCTGCAGCAATAAACTGGAACCATCTGTGAATAATCCTCATTCCGCCCAGATTCAGTATATCCAAGAACAGACAAATACATCACACACAACTAACAGAATTAAGGCACCATTGTTACCTCCATTTGAGGCCACAACACTTACTCCATTCCAGCTTCAGGACAAGGTTATAGGTGAGTCTGATAGGTTTGTTTCATTCATAATAAATCAATATTGAGAATTTTGTATTGCAATATTATTTTCTTATCTTCAGTTACGACTAGGGTTGTCACTTCTTACTTAATTTTCATGTAATCTCTTTTTTCTTAAAATGCAGTGATAGCATAAAATAAGTTTAAAGGTTACTTTATTTCTTTCATTGAAATCTGTTTTATTTTGTGAAAACTTATTTGCTCTAATAATCTGATAAAAATGTAGTTCTTAAAGTCTCTGTTTTATAATGGAAATGCATTGTTAGAATCAGAGACTTTGAGAACTACTGTTACGACTTTATTTTAATGACTTGAGACCTTCATCAAATGGCTTGGCCTTCTTATGTTGTCTAGGGTGTATGAATCTCTCACTCACATAAAACACAAGGTCCAGTGTAACAATATAATAATTTATTGCTTACTTTACAAAACAGGATACTGCTATTCAATATACTATGGCGCGTGGAACACACATCAGTCCAACTACCAACTATCCACTCTCCTAGCACTCCTACTCGACTAACTCTTGACTGACAACATTTGACGACTAACAATTCTTCTCTTGCTCTTCTACCTTTCTTCTCCGACGTCTAGCTAACACACATCCCCTTTTATATTACCACACAAACAACTCAGCCTACACTAACGTTCCACACCACGGACTAACTTCACGCTCTGACCTCACGATCAACAACTCACAAAACACTCTCACGATTCACGACTCCCCCTACCCAACATTCACAACAATCTAGTTGACAACAACTACATTTTGATCAGATTATTAGAGCAAATAAGTTTTAAATTTCTATTTATTTGTTGTTTCTTGTTTTTTCTTGTCTGCTGAAAAAGGCATTTAGCCAATTTGTCATTCTCCTAAATTTTTTTTAAGCCTAACATATCTTGTTCCACTATTTATTTACTTGGAATGGTTTGAGCACAGTCCATCATATATTATACAAAGAAAAAGAAATCCAATCTTAAAATCTAGGGGTATAATTTGAGTTTAATTCTGCAGAAAATAGTAGTAGAAACCTGTTAACTTCTTCCTAGGTTTAATCTATGGTGCAGCTGTTGGAGATGCCATAGGTGTGGCTTGCCGTTGGATGTCTGATGATGAGGTAGCTTTCCATTATGGCAGTGAGGATGATTTAGTTTATGGAAAAATTGTACAAGATGAGCACAGAATACTGTGGAGACAAGGAGACTGGACTTCCAATTTTGATCAATTTGTAAGCATTAAAAGTAGTGATTTTCTTCATTCTGAAGTTTAACAATAGGTTTTTAAAAATTTGACATTTTTAATACAAATTAAAAATTAATACAAATGTAATTTTTTTCAAGCAACATAACTTTCAATCATAAATGAATCAAAACACTTAAAAGTAGATAACCTGTGTACAATTGTGGTTTTAGTGATTAAAAATGAAAGCGTTTTATTTTAAAAAGATTACAAATGAACCATTTCAATAATTGCTGTCACATTATTCCCTTGGCTCGGGCAAATTTTATTGTTAAAATAATGTCTTTCATTTCCCTATCTTTTAAAGATTCTAGTAATGGAATCCCTTGTTAACTGGGGGGGTGTCGTTGATGAGTTGGAATTTGCCCGCAGACTTCAGACTTGGTCCATCTATGGATTTAAAGAACTGGGGGACTCTGCTAGTGTGATAACCAGTGAAACTCTAGAAAAAGTAAGTTGTGTTAGGAAACAAGATAAAAGATGTGCAAGTAGCATATATGCCATGTGATATTGTTTACCCTTACATTATATCGTTACAGCAGGGGGCAGCATCTGACCTGGCACATTAAATATATAACAGCCCACCAGATGTATCACACATGAACTTCTTTCTTCTTTCAATTTGCACTTATTTTCATTCTTGTTATAAGCTGATTTTAAATTAATGAATTATTTATATATTATAAGACAGTAATCATTTGTGGTGGTACGCAACGATAAATTAAATTGAGGAATATACTTAAACATACTTTTAATTTTAAAACAATAACATGCACCTTATTTTAAGGAATTAACCCCTGCACTACAGCATTTTTAAAAATATTTAACTTGGGGTTTCGCTGCATATTGATGTTGTTAACGTTTGTTGTGATTTTTCTTGTTATTTTTTTAAGAGCTACCGTATGTTTTATTCTTTTTTTTCAGAATGTAATAGTGAATGTAAACTTAAGTATTGAATAAATTTTAGTTCAGCGTATTCTTAAATTTTGTTCAATACTTAATTCAGTAACCATGTATAACAAACTCTTAGGCCATTTCAAGTACAAAAAATGTGTAAAAAAAATTAATGAAAATTGTTTAAATCTCTCCTCACCCACCTACCATGCTCACTCCTAATTTTCATGCACTGGCAAATAATTCTTCAGTTATCTATAAAATTGAAATCTAAGTTTAATATCTCATGTGACTTTCTTAGCTTCAATTAATTAATTTTCAGGTTGTTGTACACCCTAGTTTCACCACAGACCCCCATGCCACATCCCAAATAGTGCTTCAAGAAAACAGAGTGAAAGAAAATGGCTGTGCAACACCAACCAAAACTGCTGACTTGAGCCTTTCATCTGCACAGCATATACGGTTGCCAAGATTATCATCCTCCTCATCATCACTGTCATCGTTGTCATTATCTAGCCATTCAGATGTAGCCCAAAAGCTTGTATATAACGCATGTTGTGATCTATTTGGAGTGGATAATGGTGCTGTAGTACGGACAGCCATATTAGGTAAGATTATCTTCATGTAACAACTTTCTCGCATATTTAAATGTTGATTTAAGCCTCTGATAAAAGAAATATGTACAGATCTAGAGCCATTTGCTCAGGACAACTCTAAAACAGCTATTGGCACAAAAAAACAATATATCAGCCAATGGACACCATGATTTTAAAAAATGTACTGTTCTTCCTGGTCTAACCTAAAATATGACAATAACCAAAATGGAATGAGTTCTTCTAACTAAAATTTTAAATGGGGTTTTAAAAAAATCATAAACCTACTTCAGATTTTTTAAGCATATAACTAATATGTTTTTGTATATTACTTAAAATATTTTTTAGGGGTTTGATGTTACTGATGCTTTAAATGCCTTATCACAAAACATGGTACCATGCTAATATTCTTTACACAATGACCTTTTCTAGAAGAAACGGAACAAGAAAAAAAGATAATTTGATCCTGAATCTGATTGATTTTATTCATCAGAATCTACTTGTATATTATATACTGAGTGTTCCTTTTAAATATATGCCTAGTGATTTCTACTACCCTTGTTAATAGATGATATCTGTCTTTTTAATAGATGATATCTGCCTTGTTAATAGGTGTAATTGTAAATCATATTCATTATGAATTACAATTTCATCTTATAAGTGTATGTGGACAAGCAGTCACTCCATGATTGCAATGTAATCTGCACAACAAAAATTGTGATTATTTTTACGATATAATTCCATAATTCCTTTAGGTGCTGAGGGGTTTAAAGCTCCATTTAATTTACTTTTGTAAATCAATTTTCTGAGATATTTTTACGCTGTACCATATTAAGTGGAAAGTCGGGTCAGTGCATCCCACTTACGCATGATTTTTATTGTTCCTAGCTACTCATGGAGCAGTGGACCTATTTTATTGTTAAACTCTCACATTTCTAGGAGGTGAGAACAGGACATTTTGTGTCTAACACTATTACCCCAGCCACCCTAGCAGACACCTCTGTCATTTATGAAAAAAAACTAAGTCAGTCTTTTTGACATTAAAAAAATATTCAACTTCATCATTTTGATAAATATGATCTAGCCATTCGTAGACACTATCAGTTGTTTTGATTCTTAAGGATCCCCCAAATCTCATTAGAAATTGTCTTTGCAAATAGAAATTTCAATTGCAAATAGAAAGTGCCATTGCAAATCTAGTATAGTACATAAATTTCACTTATTCCATTCTTTAAAGTTATCATAACCGGTATTTTGTTTGTGCTTTGAAGGTGTTCCAAATTTCCATGAACTTCAAGAAGTTGAGGGTAATGCAATTAGGATATGTAGAACCACACATGCTGACAATAAGTGTGTTGCAAGCTGTGTATTGATATCCCTGCTGGTGGCATTGCTGTTGCAAGTAAGTTTTAATTCCATGATTAAAGTTGCTATAAAATGCTGGAAAGAAAATAATGTTTTGTGTTTAAAATATTATCCTTAATCTCAGTGTTTTTTGTTGCTTTCTTGTTTACCAGGGCAAGTTGATTGATGTTGAAAATAAAATGAGTCTATCCCAAGAACATTTAGATATGGCCTTCAAAATGGCAGCTGCACATTTAACAGAGGAAGCTGACAAAAAAGAGTTTTTAAATTTAAGGAATATGCAATCTCTTTCAAGGTAAACTAAATCATTTGCTAATTTTTTTTCCAAAAACTGTTTTTATAGTTCTCAACTAATTTCTTTAAGATATTTAGAATGTTTTTATGGTAGTCCAATATTGCTTAGATCTTGATTGGTCTGAAAAATTAGCTGTCGTAGTTAATGAATACGTTCAGAGTGTATACTTTCCAATTTAAGAAAACATGATTACAGAGCTGTTTATTTACATTTGGTTGTAAAAGTAGCTTTACTTGCAAAGTCATAAAAATTATTTGTAGATTTATTATTTTTTTTACCTTAAGGGACAATATCAAGTACTGCTTTGTAGAAAAGAAACGAAATAACTTTCCAGTTATTTGCTATACTATTGAAAACTATCATTTAGATTCATATTCTAAATGCTTTGATTTCAAATGAAGGAATTCATTTATAAGCACATTAATTTTCTGTGGCTGTAATTTGGGAGTTTAAAATAAAAAAGGTTTTTGTTTCCAATTCTCATCCATTTACTTCAGTAAGCTCATTTTTGGCTCTCTTATTGTTTCTTGTTAGCTTCACTGCCAAAGAAGTGAACTTAATGAGCCATACTTACCAGCCTGTTAAAGCTGCTCTCATTGCTCTACACTGGAAAGATGATTACAGGTATTGAAATTTTTGTATTAATTTAAAATCATTATCTCTCAGATAAATAAGATAGCATTACCATTGCTCCACAGGGGCAACATTAGCTAATTTAATCACATTGTCTTACTATCTCATATGTAATACTTACATTTTTTACTTTTATAAAATGAAACTTTTTTAAATTCATTTTCTTCCTGTGTGAAATACAATACTTAGGCCCCAACATTAGTTGCTTTAGCTAAAGTGGAAAAAATATTTTTTTCTAATCAAAAGATCTTTAATTAGCACAAGAAACACTTACATTTCAACCCGAGAGAAGATTATGAAACAGAACTTCAAAGAATCATCTCAATAATTGTTGACCAAATTTTTCTTGCCAGCAGTACTCATTTTTTATGAAGAACCATGTGATTTCTTTCTGATTAAAAAAAATCTAAATGAAGAATCTATCGCCAGCTTAACAGTTTGATCCAAACAAGCAGGGCTGTATGGGAAATATTTTAAGGAAGCATCTCATTAAGAAAGGTTTTTAATACTATCATGTTATATGTAATTTCTGGTCTACTGCTACTTATTCTTCAGCTAAGTTGTGTTTTTATTGTCTGATGTCTTTATTGTTCTTGCAGTTGAAGGCTTTAAGCTGAAACGTCTGCTTTTTTATTTCATCTTTTTTCACATTTTCCCCTTTCCAGTGTTTAATATTTCTTATATCTTTTTAACAGCAAATGTTTTAATTATCCCAATAATTTAGATCTTTCATAGCCGCCCTGACAAAGCTAGGAGGAGACAGCAGTAGTAATGCCAGTGTTGCAGGTGCACTGCTGGGCTGTTGCTGCGGATTCGCTCATCTTCCAAGGACATGGGTGGAAGGTCTACGCAAGCAGCAAATTCAGTGGCTCAACACTCGAATCAATCACCTTCTTGACATCATGGGCTCACCATAACATCAACACTTTTTATATGATGGTATTTTCTGAGTTTATTCTGTGATATGGCAAATCTGCTGCAGCTTCATTTATGGTTCCATTAGCAGAGCACTGAATCAAGTCCACTATTAAAACACTTAAAAACGCAATGGTCTTATGCTCCATTAATTAAAGCCACATGAAAAATATTTTAAAGCACAAGAACATTTTAATGGAATGATTACTTCTATATGCATACTGCATCAAGAAGCTGAGAAATTAATAATCATTAAAAAAATTTAAACATTTATAAATGGTACTCATAAATAACTGATACTTATAGGTGTTTTTTTGTTGTTGCCATTCAGCTGGTAACATTTTGCTGATGTCATTAGGCATTGTAGCTATTAAAATATTTTGAGTACAGTGGTATGAAAGTCAAAACAAATAAACACATTTGATGAGTCTACTTTGTGTTGATAATCCAAGCAATTTGTTGAGCATAAATCACATGACGATGTCTAAAGCAAAGCAAGTAAAGTTAAACATGTCGGTAAAATGTTCATTTTAGTTTTATAAATTTGGTTTTTGCTTGTTATACTTTTCAATTTAATCTGAGTAAGGATGTAATCAAAATGATTTATTTTAAATTAAAATGTTTTCTTCAATTTAGTATACAGTAACAGTGAATAACGACACACCTAAGTGTGCTAAAACTTTGATTTCTATCGTAATTTCATTTTCATATAATTATTTATAAAATATTTTATTAAATAAATTGCACTCATTTAAATTCAAGGTAATTAAAATAAAATTCTTGTTCTCAAACATATGATTTTTTGAAAAAATTAACTTTTCAACTCTGAACTAATGTTTTAACTATACCGGTAACCTTTTTCAGTTTTCTCATTTAAGGCACGGTATTGTAAGTATTGTTAGCCATTCATTTTTAAAATATGTGCTAAAGTACTATTCAGGAAACTGAACATCAAAGGTCTCTGAGATATTCTCTCTTTTTTTTTTTCCTTTGAAGGATATTTTGTTTATTGAATAAAAATAAATTCAAAATTAAACTGTTTTGAATATAAATTGCAACAAATGTGTAAAAAAAACAGTTTTGAATTTTAACCTTCTTCTAATGACCATTCCTTTAGCATCGAGAATTTACTTCCAACACACACAAAATATAAATGCTTTTAGTCTGTTATTGTAAAATTGCAATGTATTTATCGATTTTTAAACATAAAATAGGTTCCATTGTTTTAATGTGCCAGTGTCTTGCCTGCCGATGGTTGAGTTTATGTCCATTCTAGTTTTCTAGATTTGAATTGCATAGAGTCATGTCTCAAAAAAATCTAACTTGCCATTAACATATCATTGTTATCAATACCACCATAAAAAAAACATTGCTGGCCCTAACTACTTTAATATAGCCTTATCATGGCATTCTTTGCTATGAAAATTCATACTCCATTGATAAAATACAATGATCAAAATAGATCTAACTTTCAGATGGTGGTTACATTAAACTATTGTTGTTTTCTTTTAGATTTGTTCATGTTTTTGGTGCTGCTGATTTAAAGAATCTTATGCATCACATAATATTATATTTATAAACAAAAATGCAGAGCAGAAATTATTTTTAATTTATGATAACTTATTGATAAAAAAAGCATAAATTGTTACAGAATGATTGTTGATATTTACAATATCTTACAAAATAAATCTATCCTCTGCTGTTTTTATTTACGATTATTTTTATGACCCCCTGATTTACGCAGAAAAGGGTATTGTGTCGCATGATTACATCTGTGTAGCTCAATGTTAAGTAAAATTTTCAATGGTTTAAAGTTTGCAAACAAACTGTGATCATGTATAAATTGTAGCAGACTTAATTGCAGTAATTCTGTTTTAAAACGAAGGTTTTGTTTAGTGGCGAACTAAATTATAATACCAAAAAACTCTAAATGATAATCCAATCTTGGGTTTTTAATTATATATTTTATTAATTTAAAAAATATTCTAAAATGTGTTGCATGTAAAAAACATTTAGAAGAGAGTGATGTCATCTGAACTTTCTGTCCTGTCCATTGATTGATGTTATTTTAATTATAAGAACTTCACAACACACCACTGATGATACTTCTTCTTCTTCTACTTCTATATCTTAAGGGCCCACGATCAATTTATTGATCATTTTGGCTCCTATGCATGTAGATGGGATTTGCAATGTTTCTGTTCCTGGTGTTGATGAGGAAATTTCACAGATTTCCAGTGCCACTTTGTGAGGTCCACGATCAATTTATTGATCATTTTGGCTCCTATGCATGTAGATGGGATTTGCAATGTTTCTGTTCCTGGTGTTGATGAGGAAATTTCACAGATTTCCAGTGCCACTTTGTGAGGGAATCATGCACTCGGGGTTTGAAGGCTTGAGGCAATAGACACAAATGTGTCTAGTGTTGTCGCCTCAACCGTTCCTTTTGAAAGATTGTTCCAGTCCCTGATTGTCTTGGGCAGGAATGAGCAGCTCCTATACTGGCTTCTTGCTGGTATGAGCCTGAATTGCCTGTCATGGCCTCGTCACTGTCTATGGGGGAGAGGGACGAGTTTCTGTTTAATACTGGAACAGTGGACCAGCCCATTATTTATCTTGTACATCATGGAGAGTCTGGATTGTCGTCGTCGTTTCTCCAATGGTGACCAGCCTAGTGTTTCCAGCATGCTGCCAACACTAGAGGTATTCCTGTAGCGGTTCAGGACAAAGCGTGCTGCTTATCGCTGGGCCGCCTCCAACCTGTCAATGCTCTTCTGGGTAAATGGGTCCCAGACTTATTAAAGTGGTCCTGAAATAAGAAACAACTACTAGTTTAGTAAGCTATAAAACTATTTTATTCTGTGCATTGTGTTTATTAACAAACTGACCTAGTCTCTTAAGCCATGCTGTGTGACAAAATTTTCATTTTGAGAAATGATTTTTTTTTTTTACAAAATACATCAGAAGAGTGGTTGGAAAAATGACTGATCAATTTGACTTTGAGCCTTGGGGTGCTTTAGGTGACTAAATGTCATTATGGGCAATATTAATATAAATGAAATCTTTTTAATGATGGAGTTATATTAATGAAATCTTTTTATTGATGGGGTTATATTAATGAAATCTTTTTATTGATGGGGTTATATAAATGAAATCTTTTTAATGATGGGGTTATATAAACGAAATCTTTTTAATGATGGGGTTATATTAATGAAATCTTTACAACTATACACCACTTTTCTTATTTTATTTACCAATTTCAGATGCCATTCTATTTTGAATTGAATGCATGATATACAGGGTGGCCCAAAGAAAGTGAGAACATCTTGTAGCAAAGGGTTATTTAATATAAGTGAATTAATCTGTTTTTCATTCACAGTTGTATGCCAAGTATTACGTCATCAGAAATCATGTTCAATGTGTTCCCCTTGCTTCATCGACTTTTTGTAAGTCTTGGCGCCACTATAAATTTTAATAAAATCTACATTGATCTATTGCAATGCACCCTGTATGGCATAATTGACTAGGTTTAAATCAGGACTGTGCGGTGGCCACATATTTGGCTCGATGAAAGGTAACATCCTCCTGATGAGGCAAGTTTATTGTATTTATGGCCGTATGAGATCAAACTCTATCCTGCTGTAATTTCTAGTTATGCGCAGTGCTAACACCCGGCCATGTAAAAAAAATAAATGTTACGAAAGCCAAACAACAAAATAAAAACCGGACTGATTCTAATAGAACTAAGAATTTGACCCATGCCTGGATATGGACATGATTTTTGGATTGCGACTTAGAAGCCTTAGCCAACTTAATAGATCAAGAAATTCGATGGAAGAAAGCAGTCATCCTCAAGACTACCAGTACAGCATATTTTATAGTGGCAACAACACTAACACTCTTGGAACAGGATTTGCTGTGAAGAAAGAAGCCCTGGTTGCAGTTATAGTATAGGTTTTAAACCAGAGAATGAAAGATTGTGCTCTTTGCGTGTGGGAGGAAAAACATAACTATAACATTTATAAATGTTCATGCTCCCACCGAAGATACAGAAGGTCAGATAACAGAATCCTTTTATGAGACACCACAACATGATTTTATAATAGTGATTGGAGACTTAAATTTAAATGCCCAAATAGGAAAAGAAAAATTGTTTATGCCACTATTGGCAAGGAGAGTCTGCATGATGAATCCAATGGCAATGGGATCCAAAGCATAGACTTTGCTTCAGGAAAAGGCATGACAATTAATTGCACCAAGTTTCCACACAAAAATATACATAAAGTTACCGGTACTTAGAATTCACCAGATGGAATCACCCACAACCAATTTGACCATGTTCTAATCAAATGGAGGCAGGGATCAGACATACTAGATGTAAGAAGCTATCGAGTAACAGATGCAGACTCTGATCATCTTTTTGTAAATATTAACAGAGAATATGAATAAGCATAATTCACATAGCCAAAATCAAAGAAGGAAAAATGTAAGATGACCAAAAACTTACCAAAGACCTACTACTATCTGCAAAAGCTAAACCGAAATGAAGTAACAGCTCAACTAGAAGCATAACAATGCAAGAGGAAATAAAGAGGGAAAAAAACATAAATGAATAACAGAAAAAGTTGTAAGATTTCAGCAAACTAACGGTAGACTAGGCCGGTTTGATAATGAATGCAGAGACTCTAAGAAAACAAAGCACAAATGACCATAATACAAAGGGAAACCAGAAAGACAAACACAAGGAAGCCAGAAGTTAAACCACAAAAATGCATAGGAAGAGAAAAAGGGAATCGGAAAATTCTAAACTAAAAGAAATAGAAGCATTATCAAGAGAGGGAAATAAAGAAGATAGATGGATGATGTGGAGAGGGATCTACAGCAGCTGGGAACTTATGGAAAAGAAAAGCATCACCAAGGTCTGATTCAAGTGTGATTGGAAGGATGTGGTGAGGCAGGCCAAAGCCATACATGGGCTGTAGCGCCACGGGGATGGATGTAGTGTTTACTTTGGTGCCTGACTGAACAAACACAACACTACTGTTCCCTAAACGTAGCACACCAACTGATACCATGATAACGTGACTGAAATGTTCATGTTTTTGTATATGTCTCCTTTCTGGAACTTGGCCTTTACTTCCATTCAACCGAGTAAACTTGATCATTTTGAGAATTAACTGGTGTAGCAAACAGTGAAGGTCTTTTTGTCTCTAAACCAAATGCTTTGTAATTGTACACTTCTCATTAGGAAACCATTCAAGCAGCTGCTAACTGCTTGGCGAACGTTTCATTTCAATGTGGACATTTTTTTAGTGCCTGCCCAATCACACGGTTGTATGTTTCAAGTTGTAAATCTTGCTTTACTGTACATTGTACCGTTGTCCGATTCTTTTTCAATTTCCTGCAGACTTTTGTGACTGTAAGGATAATCTTGAGTTCAAATCAGGTCATTCACTCCCTCATTGTTCTGTTGTGCTCTAGCAGACTTTGGACAAGTACTTCTGGGTTTACGTTCCGTTGTTCCGTCATTGTTAATTTTTGTAATAAGCCCAGCTGACGCTAGGTATGCTGCAGGCTTTGTTTGGAAACTAATTTATCATTGGCCTAGCACCCCATGGTTTTCCATTTCGCAAATTTTAAATCAGAATATGGTCTTCTACTGTGATTTTTGTCATCTCGTTAAAATGTTTTTAAAACGCGCATTATTGACAATTGGCTAATTAAAAATAAAAGATGGCTCCATGAAATTTTCATAATAATGACATCATATAGTTAAATAGGTACCTAAGTAAATTGGTAAACTATTTAAGCTATTACTATTGTGGATACAGCTAAACAAACTTTGATGTAATTATATTTCATTGGTAAAGATGTTATCACTTTTTTTAGGCCATCCTGTATTGAAGATGTATGTGAGATATGGAAAGTTACCCCCTAATTGATTATCATCAAATTTGTGTTGATTCAAACTTTAATAAATAAAAAGACTGCAAAAATACATTTTTAAGGAATAAAATATTTTCAAATATATTTCAAATAAAATAAGTACTGGTATAATATATATTGTCCCTAATACTGAGATAAAATTTATGACAGTTATCATTTTTTATTATACATTGACATTGAATAAAAATTAGTACTACCAGTACCATACATGATAACATATTTTATGTGTAAAACCCCCCAGCAGTCACTCCATTTAATTCAATGTTTAAACTACGGTTGCATCGATTAATTAATCTGCAAATAATCCGTATTCTGCCTAATACTGGCCATTTAGGTGATTAATCTGTAATTGTATGTTTGTGGCCAATAAATTAGCCTCTCAAAATGTCTTAAGTTTTAATAGAATATCAGATGTTTTAAACATTTTGTCAAATTTGTACAGGATTAGGTATGTACAAGACTAAACGTTCTATCAATACATTTTCTTACCTTACCTCCTCCCATTCTAATTTTGTTCGTTTCTGTGACTTACTTATTCATCGTTTACCAAATACATAGCTGACTCTTTTTTACTTCATTACAAAGAGATAATATAATATAGCCAACCCTTTGGATGCTTTTCTTTGGTTATTTTCACTGACTTTAAATTTAAAACTCAGCATTTGGTTATCTTTATTTTTTACCACAGAAATAAAATTGTTCACAATGTTTTGCCCTTTTTTCAGACAATAAACAATAGGGTAATTTTACAACTTTACAAAAACTAACATAATTTTTTTTAAAAAGAATATTATGTCTTCTAATGGTAAGTTTCCCCTGGGTAATATAAATAAAGCGTGACATCGGCCTTTGGTGGAAGTGCCCCATCTCAGCACCTGAAAGGTTTTGAACCACCCCCCACCCCCCCACTGATCAGTGGAGGACTTAATTAAAAGTCCAAATAATTTATCGGATGCTGATTAATAGGTAATCTGCCAAATTACTAATTGGTGCAACCCTAAGTTATACCTCTGGTAATGAGTCAACGTTTAGTAAAGCCCCACCTGAATTGAAGCTTTTTAGTTAATTCATTATTCACTGCCAATGATCATGACTTGTTTAATTTTAGGGCCATTAATAAAGTCGTTTGGGAGTAAAATTGTTGTTTGTTGTCAATGATCACGCCTTGTTTAATTTAAGAGCGATGAAAAAAAGGTGATATGAGAATTGATAAGCTTATTCAAAATTTCATGTAATTTAAATGCATTGTATCACACATTTGGGGCTAACCATTATTATTATAAATAGACAACTATTCAAATGGTAACAAAATACCAACGCTGGTAAAATATATTTTAAATGTATTTAAAGTATCTCAGCTAAAATTAACATCCGCTGTGTAAATGCATAGTACCCGGTATTACTTACTAGAAGTCTATTCAAGCATGTGTAAGTTTGTTAACAGCCACATTTCTAGGACTATCGTTGTTACTTATTAGAAGTCCATTCAAGCCTCTGCAAGTTTAAGTTTAATTCACAGCAAAAACATGACTAAGACTATCTGATGTTGATTCAACTTGAATCATTGTGAAATGAATTTCAATATGTAAAAACTTTTTTTAAATTCTGCAAGTCTGATAATAATAAGATTTAACTTGCAATACATTTACATAAAATGCCCCTTTTTTAAAAAAAAATTTGTTGGACATTATCATTTGTTATTAACATTGTACATAAAAAATAAAATGTTTGTGTTCTAATTTAGAGGCTATTTCTTATCAATACAGTTTTATAGGAAATACCCTTTAAAAAATTCTTAAAGCTAATTTTAATAAGCAACACATGATTACAAAAATGTGGGATTTTTATTCAAAGCCATTGGGTAGTAGCTCACAATACAGTAACTTCATGTTCAAAAGGTCACTAAAACCAGCTTATCACAGAAACACATGTTCAGGATAATAAATGAAAGTAAAAATATGTCCATATTTTATTTTTTATTTTTATTACGGGTTATAACTTGCCACCCATCTTCAACAGCAGGCTTATCATCTGTTACTTCCATATCGTCAGGATTTTCTGAAACTGAAGCAATTTCAAGAATATAACCTTAGGTTTGAAACTCAAAAATGTGCTTCATTAATATTTTGATCAAGTATTATTTTCTGATAATCTATGCGTTTGTCTAAAAATCACTTCTATGATGTACTGGTATCATTTAAAAACTAATTTCAGAATGTTTTTCTCTAAAAAATTTAATGGCATCTAAATACCAGTACTTTATTTTACCAAACACTTACAGTACAGGCTTGGATTTATACTCCATACCGGTACTTTGAAATTTAGTTTTAATGAATACTAGCCATTTTCTTGTTTTAAAAAATGTGGGAAGAAGTACAATTACAAAAGGAATTTGGGAGGCAACAGCGGGCACTAATGGAAGTAGAGGGTTAAAATCCCAAACTCAACTATTTTTATATTAATAAGTTTTAGTGCAAAACAAACACATTACGATATTAAAATGTATTCATAAAACAGGTTATCTGTAGATATGATTATCTAGTAAATAAATTTTAGTGCAATTAAGAATCCAAAAGGATAATATTATTAGTTTAATATATATATACCACCCATTTCAAAATAATTTTGTCTATTTCTTCATTCATCTGCCTTTATTCTAATAGCTAAGTATTTAGAACCAAGAGGCTAACTTCTTGTTACATTGTGGTACAGGTATTTGTCTGACATTATTAAGGCACTCAAAAAAAAAATATTAATTTGAATTTACTCCAGCACCTGAAGATGATGATTGATAAACAGTTGGCTGAACTGGTATTGAAGAAGAACTAGAAGAATCAGCATCCGTTTCATCAAACTGTAAATCACAAATAGATTTAAAAAACAATAATTTTTTTGTATAATACCAATAAATAAAAATCATGACCAACTGATTTTTTGTACTACTTTTAATTGCTCTCCATGATATGAATACTGATCATGGCAAAGTTCATATAAAATTGAATTATTATTTTTTAATGTTCTAGTCTAGTAAATTTTAACTAAAACTAAAAGTGATCCAAAAATATGATGTAAAGACATGCTGATAACAAGCAAATAATGAAATACCTTTAACTCTTATAACAAGTATGTGGGTGGGATCTATCTTAATTTTTACATGGAGACTCTTGCCAGGTGGAAATTTATTTTATGTTGAAAGCTCATGACAGTAAAAAATTATTTATTTTTAAATCACCTGAAAGCATCCCAACTTATCCAAAGTTCAAGGTATTGAGAGTTGACTAATGGAACAATATTGCCAATATAAATAAAGATACATTACATCTATTTCATCGTCATTTTCATTCCCTTTGCGACAGCCTTGAATAGACGCCTTAGGCAGACTCTTAAGACGCTCTTGTAACTCTTCTAATTTGTTGTCTTGACAAAGTCGGTAATATAAACACAACAATCTGGATATCTTTGAATTAAAACAGAACAAAGAAACAAGTTGATTGCAATTATTAAATAACAAACATTTTAATAAATGCCAGTGTAGGTCCTTAATTGTTATATAAACATTGCACTATGAAGACAATGTTGGATGCTGAATATATCCAATTAGAAATGGAATACAACATTTTAAGAGTAATTTTATAAAACAGTTTGTAAAACTTCATCCCAATATGTAATTACAGCACTCTTTTAAAATGATTGCATAACTTTACAATTTTGCATTTGATAAAGTCGAAAGTTTAGAATGCATCTGAACATGCAAACAAAAAAGTAAGTAAAGAGTGGCTGAAAGAAACAATGATTGATACTAATGTAACCATTGAATACAACTAAGTGATAAAGTAAGAGATTTCAACAGTTTCTTAAAAAATGATTGAATAATTAACCTGCCTCATGAACACTGTTGTCTTCAACAATTAGGTCAAATTCTGTATTCAGGACATCTTCAAGAAAGTCTTCCACTTCATCAGACTCAACCCCAACTGGGGAAATATACATTTATTTCAATCAATGTCTGCCTTTAAAACACAAATTGCATACAGTGCGGCCTTGATAAAACCCAATAGCTATTTCAAGATTATCTCCAAGAAAAATAAAGCATCCAATTATAACACAGTGAATTTTTCGAGGAAAAAAACATCGTACTTGAGTTGTACTGAGTGATGAAAATTAGTAACAAAATTCAGTTCATCAGTACAATGTATTGAAAATTGATTACCGTACAATGTCTTTTCTTTAAAACTCTGTAGTAGGGAAATCCAAATGCAAAGAATAAATTGAGACGTGTCAACTCCTATTTATTTGTTTTTTTAATTTTTAAAAATTATTTTATAGTTATACTGGTAGTGGAATTAGTACCAACCGTTTTCAGTAAACCAGGTTTCAATAGCATAAACCATCCACTTTGCTTTTTCAAGACTCTCAGAACCACCAAATCCGTGTTCAACTGCTAGCTGTAATCAAACAGATAAATTAAATAATAAAAAGTTTATATAAATTTATTATTATAATTATACATTTATTTAGTTAGGTTAAATTAATCAGAATAGCAGTAGCAAGCGTAGGCTATGTATAGAGTACCTTAAAATTTGGCCTATTTAATGCATCAATTTTTTACAAAAATTTAAAAGGAATAATATAAAAGAACAATAGAACAATTAAAATCATTTTTTTTTAAACGGAAAATATGGCAGTTTAGGACTTAAGGAGTAGGTAAAGCAAGGGACATTCCTAGAAAATTTGTATCTGAAATGGGGCGCAATGATTTGAGGGTTTAATTTTTTTATGCGCGTGTCATTTTAATAATAGTCTTTTTGGGGGTCGGTCGCAAATTACGCCACACAAAAAATGAACCCCCTCCCCCACCATCACAAATTTTTATCCACCCCCACCCCCTCCACATCGCACCTAAAAAAATCAAAATATACATGTTACCTGTAATACCTGAGGCAATTTCGACCTCAAATTAATGTTTAAATTAATTGAAAAAAGATCTTTCAAAATTAGAAAATTTTAGATTAAAAAAAAAAAGATTTCCCACCTCCCCTTGTCACAAAGTGTTATAAATTTTCAACTCCCCTTCCCCCTCTGAGCATGAGCGCTAGCTCATGAAACATTTTCACAACTCTCCTCAAAGAAGACTTCATTATGCAAAAGTGGCACATACCATTTTGGATTAGTAACCACGCCCCTTTTAAATGGCGGAAGCCATCGATACTTAGCTTAGGCAAAATATTTGATAACTTGTGCTTCAGAATGCATTTTGAAAACATTTAGACTGGAATGTTTGAATTTGAGCTTTAAAAAGCTGGTAGAGTCCATATTATAAATGATCCTTGTGCAAAACTTTGTCATGGGCAACCATGCATTCACAGCCACATGCATAATGGCTATGTCATGTCGTAGTACTACCTCAGAGTTTCATTCATAAGAGTTTGCCGTGTGCAAAAACTATTAAACCATTGGTCAGGGAAAGCTTTAATTAATTAATCATGGGCCAAAGTTGGAATTTCAAATAAGTAGTCCCCAAACAGTTTATTAGTAATAAGAGGATGTGTTGCCTTATATAGACTATTTGGCAAATACCGGTATAATGGACGCCATAGATTTGGTAAACAGAAAAGCTATATATTAATACTTATATTAAATTTACTGATATACAAAGTATAGTCCATAAATTTATGTATAATAGTAATATTAATAGTACAACGTTATTAAAATTATTTTTTAATTAATGCATAATACAGTCTAATACTAATACAGCATTAGTTCTGAAAATAAAAGTCGTATAAAATTATCATTAAAACGAGAGTAATATATCTCGTGACGCGAACAGCGGAATTGGGTCACAGAATGTGGAGATGTGGTCTATGTTAAAAAAAGACAAACGAAGTACTTTAAAAATTCATAACTTTAAAACTACAACAGCTAAAAACTTGATTTTGGTGTTATAATGAAATGCTTTTCAAAATTAGCTCTATTCAACTACGAAGTGTCTACACGTCCGGCGCGCCGGACAAATAGTGCGCAAGATATACGTCCGGCGGTATGTCACGTGACATACCGCCGGACGGCTAGTATTTTTATAATTCCGAACGAAGTACAGTTTGGAAGATCTTGTGTGGTCTAGTGGTAGAGTGGTCACTTGACGATATTATGATGTGAGGATCAATACCAGGGATAGGATCGTTTTTTTTACTCCCATTTTAATGTAAAATATTTTATACTATATTTATATTATCATGTTCATCAGCAACAGTAGTTTCATGAGAAGTTTTTAAATATTTTGTAACAATTTAAAATGAAATCTTTTACTTTTATTGGTTGCCTACTCCACACTGGCCCCTAATTTATTTTATGGATTACTGGTGCACAAACTCAAATAACAAACTAAACAAAAATGTTTACAAGCCACTTTCACTTAAGTTTTTTTCTATTATTTGCATTCAAGATACTCAGCACATTACTTGATAGAGAAATAGATTTTAAAAATAACAATAGTTATGAATCATTCGCAGTCACGTGACAAGGCTGACCGACAAGATATCTCTCGCCACTTTGTTACGGCGGTCATGTGACTTGGTCGCCGGACAAATAGTGCGGGAGATATACGCCCGGCGCGCCGGACGTGTAGACACTGCCATTCAACTATGCCAGGTTTATTTTACAAAATGTTTTAATTTTTTATCGAAGTAACTATACTATTACTATTAGTAGCATTATCATTTGGAGGAGCACATTGAAAAAAGCCTTAAATTTAAATATTAATAATATTATTAATAATTATTAAAAGTGGAACAAATAACTTCTACAATGTAGAAGTTAAGTCAAAGTAAAAGTAAAGGTATACAGACTATGATACAAGTCTTTTTTTACTTTTTTTTTTGTTTTCTTAGGACTTAGATTAATTACTGTACTGTTAGAAATGTTAGTTTATCAGTGAATTACCACTATACAAGTGCCGGTAGCCGGTAGTGTAGTCTAGTATTAGTAGTAGCCTAACTAACAGTCTAAGTGTAGTAGGGCGTCATTGAGTCATTGTTTTGTACGAGTTAATATGGTACTTGAGAAGAGTTAGGTCTACTGTTAACTCTACCTGCAAGGCCGTCCAACTGTTAAGTATTTGAGAAACTGCGTTTCCAAAGGCAGATATCGATGAGGCCATGGCCATCTGATACCTTTCTTTAACTTAGTTTAAGAATTTCCAAGTAAAACTAAACGAACATGATTTCAACCAGGGCTGCCACTCACTTTTTTCAAATTTCCCAAGATGTGGTGAACAAATTTCCCAAGATTTCCCAAGATCATACAAATATATAAGAGTTTTTTTTTTTTAAAGGGGGGTTTTCTATGTAATTAATGTAATAATAGATTGAATCAATGCCCCTGAAAAACATGGTATATTAATGGACTGAAATTTATTGAAAAAGACATTTAAAACATGTTTATCACATTTAAAAAAAAAAATTTGTTTTTAAAAAAATAATTTATAATCCAAAATATCAATACCCACTGGAGTTAGGCTACTAAATATTACCTCCGAATTCTCTGATAAAAATATAATCTACAATACATGTGTAATAGAAGTCACTTGGAAAAAAAAAGCATACAAGGCTAATCAACACAGAATTCCTTTTACAAAGGCAAAAGTTTCTTCATCAAAAAATGATTTTTTATTATTGTAAATCTGTTGATTACAAGTGGGGTTTGCAAAGCAATTAAGCAAAATTTATTAATAATAATTGTAGTTAAAATGGATTGATATTACGATGAAAACAATAAGTGTTTTATTTTTTCTTGTAAAATTTACATTATAACGATTTTTCCACAAAAAAAAAAATACTTTTAAAGGAATTGTTCATTTATAATCCTACAACGTAGGCCTATACTGCCTATACTATTAATATCTTAGTTACCCGTGTTTCAATCCACAAATATTTTTTCTAATTGATGAAAATTAGGCTGGATTTTTTACAGATGCATTATATTTTGAACACATTGTAGAAGTAATTGAAATAATAAAATTCTACTATGGCATGGATTCTTGATTGAACACTATCGTTCACTCTTTGGCTTGTACTGTTTTTCGTATGGTTGCTAATGTCTAAGAGCATAATGATAAAGTTTCCGAGCCTACCCCCCCCCCCATTTAATAAACATTCAAAACCTGGATGTAATTTGTAAATCTTCAATTTTTTTTTTTTAAAGAGAAAATTGAATTTTTTTTTTAAATTATTAACTTTTTAATAATTCACAATATTAACTTTAAAATCAGAAGAGTTTTTATTTATTTTATGAGTGGATTTAAAAATTAAAACCAGAAAAGAAAATGAAAACAATTAATTTTTTGCCTTGTTACTTTAAAAATTATTTTGCTTTATTTTTACTTTATTTTTTATCAGATATTGTTGCGTTTTTTTCGAAAAATATAACAAAATTTTCCCCCCATTTAAGATTTCCCAAGGTTTTGCATGATTTTCAAAATTATTCCCCAGATCCCAAGGGGGGTCGTGAATTCCAAGATCTTGGGAAATTTCCCAAGGTGTGGTAGCCCTGATTTCAACACATGCTAGCAATAGTGTTACCACTAATCTTTGTCCGAATTCCCCAGGATATAGCCAAAACTTTCCCCAACGCAGGGATTTAAAGTGGAGCTCAAACTTCCTGGAGTAGATCTTTTTGCCCGGAGCTGGTAACATTTAATTTATTACCGATACAAATACAAGCTCCAAATTTGTTTAATCAATTAATTTTTAAAAAATAAATAATTTGGTGATTGAGTCTGATGAAGTGAAAGACTTTCTCGAAGATGTCCTGAATACAAAATTTGACCTAATTGTCGGGACGAGTGTTTGTGAGGCAGTTTAAAAGTTTATTCGTCTTTTCAAAATTATTAAGCCCCCTACCCCTGGCCATGTTGTATGAACAAGTGAACGCCCGAGATCTGGGGAAATTTCTCAAGGTCTGGTAACTCTTGGATTAACGGAATGTAGGTTTAACATCATAAAATCCGGTTTTATAGAACAAAACAAAATATTATCGTTAATTCCAAATTAATTTTGTAAATTTATTTGTTAACCCCAAATTATTTACAAATTATTTTTTTAAAAGATTTTTTATGATTTAAAAAAAAAAACTTTCAGCCATTCTATGTTTTTCAATTGGTTTCTCTCTTTTTTACAGTTTAAAGCTTTTTCCTTTTTTTTATTTACCGTAACAGTACTGCTTCCGCTTACTCTGTCAACAAGGAAGGAATAGCAAAAATATATATATATAATTTATATAAATAAATAAATCAAATAAATACGAATTGCTTTTATTCAAAATGAACAATCAGGCTCCTAGACAAAAGCCTACTAATTGTCCTTCTTTGCTGCTTCAAGATAATGAAAATGAATCCCTGTTTGAAGCCATGGGCAGATTATGTGTGGTAAGTACAAAAAATTGTTATTAAAAATTATAGAAGTTATTCTTATTATATTATAGGTACTTGGATACAAAATTTTAAAAAATTCAAATAATTTTTTTAATAGCACAGTTAGTTAGAGCTAATTTCAAATAAAAAAATGAAACCAGAATCAACTTTTTAGCTTAAGTACTTTTTGAGCTATGAATTTTTAAAGTGTGAGTTCGTTTGGTATTTTTTACTATGGACGAAACCTCCACATCTTGTGACCTCATTCCGCTGATCGCGTCATGCGCAATGACTATATACTTTATATAAGGCAACGCATCGCCTTATCACTAAAATACTGTTTAGGGTCGACTTAGTTTAAACTTTCAACTTTGGCACATGAATAATTAATTAAAGCTTTCCCTGACCAATGGTATAGTAGTTTTTGCACACGGCAAACTCTTATGAATGAAACTCTGAGGTAGTACTACGATACAGTTATGCAAGTGGCTGTGAATGGTTGCCAATGACAACGTGTTGCACACGGTAAATTCTGATCATTTATAATATGGATTCTACCGGGTTGTTAAAGCTCAAATTAAAACATTCCAGTTTAAATGTCTTCAAAATGCATTCTGAAACACAAGTTATCAAATATTTTGATGTAAATAGTGGTAATAAATTAATATTTCCTAAGTATCGGCAACTTCCGCCATTAAAAAGGGGGCGTGGCCAACCCCATGGCGAAATTAGGTTGAGCGAGCTGCATGACCTGCTGCGAACGCGCAGAAACATAGCGTCTCTCGTAAGACACTTATCGCTGTGAAAATTGGCATACATGTAGATCAATAGATTCCCCAGATGCAAAAAAAATTTGGTAGTGACAAATTTTTTCCTTCGACTTAATTTTAATGATGAAAGTTGCCTTATATTTACCAAGGATTTTCTCAAAGCTGACTGATTGTAAATGAAAAAGAAATTGATTAAAATGTAGGCCAAGATGTCTACCTAATTATAAGGCCGAAAACGGAACTCAAATACATATCGAAAGTACTAATTTAATAATAAATAGACACACACATCGGAAAATTAAAAACTCGGATTTTTTGGCGCCGATTGCGAAATCCCATACACAAAAAGTAGTAGTCTCCCTTGACTTACCGAAGTACCTATTATATTATATTTATATAGCCTATAGGTATAGTATAGCCTTGCTTACTCACGTATTACTTATTAACATTCGGAGACTCATCACTACCAGCTATAAAAAAGGCTTAGGTCAAGCAAAGCGTATTTCAAATTATAATATTAAAAGTAAAAGATCTAAATCTCTAGGTCTTATTAATTTATTATAGTATAGTACTACTACTTATAATAAAATTTATTTATAATATAAGACATTATACCATGATGGGCTATTTAAGATTATGCGGCCTGAGGAGATTTAGGCGTGATTATTGATTCTAAAATCTAATACTAATACTCTCTAATTATCTAATATTTTAATAATAGTGAAATTACTAATACTCTAAATACTCTAATCTAAGTCTAAGTCTAAAAGTAATGCTAATTTTAAATCTTGGGTTTGGGTCCGCCCATAAAGTACGTCACGCTATTTTTGACCATTTATACCCCCCCCCAACCCCGGGCGCTCTAAAGTATGTCACACTTTCGAACAAATTTTTTTTAAAAATTAACACCTAATTAAAATTTAATCTAAAACACACTTCACTAATTAAACTGTATTAAAATATAAAATTTCCACTTAAAAGAACTATCACATTATTAAAATGACTTTAATAGTAGAATAGTTGCTAGCGCTCCTAGCAAGAGGAATCGTGAACAACACATTCAGGAGATATGCATTTCATGCTTTTTTGACATTTTGTGGATAGGATCAACAAGCCTATTCTGATAATTATCTACTAATATTAATGTTTGATTTTCAAATTAACTTTTAGTAAAGTGTAGTAGAGTGAAGCTGGCTTAGCTGGTAATGGTGGGTGATGGTGATTGGTTGTACCAAGACTGACAGTTACTAATAAAAAATGAAGGAGTTCAGGTCTTGAGGACTATAGCTTTAATAAACTCTAATGGAAGAGTTCAGTACGACGAGAAAGGTCCTAAGGAAAAGCTAAAGAAAAAGGACAATATCTGAAAAGAAACAAATAGTACCATACAGATTAACAATGTCCTGACTAACATTGACTAATACAGCTAATAATAAACATGTTAAATAACACCATAATTGTAGATTGTGGCAAAAATATATGTAACTGAGGATAGCGTATTACATGTTATACTAAATGGCAATGAAAACTATATTGTTCTAAAAATGTATAACTATAAAAGAAATCATGTGGAAGTGTTTAATTTGTAGCACATACACTGTGCTAGTGTTTCACACAGAACCAGTGTGAGATGTGAGGGTTAACATTAAGATCTTTGAATTATTATGGTAGGCCATCCAGATATGGAGTCTATGTAAGAAGCACACATAGCAGGACAGTAAATACAATGGTATAAAGTATGACCACAATTAGCTTGATACTTGTAGCTATCAATCGCTGTGCCTTTTTAAGACAAACAGCCACTTTCAGAATGGCTAGTTATATGTAATATTATCCTAACACATGCACCATTTCCTATGTGAGAATTTAGCACACAGCAGGAGAGTTAGCCTATTACACATATTTGATGTACATTCAGTGGTTGTATACTGTTGTATCAATAGCTTATAAGCACATTGCAGTATGTGTACCCAGAACGATATACGGTTGCTTTCTATGCTCACAAACACTGGTCACTGGTATCTAATTAATTCTATTAAAGAATTTAGTGGACGGTTGTATGTTCAACCCTTAAAATATCATGGTTATAAGTCTACACCGGGTAGGTTATTCCTACAATATATCATGGTGATAAGTCTGAATGGAAATCTTCCAATACTAACACTTAGCAAGTTCATACTAAACACAAAGAAATAAAATGACGTATTAGCTTCTACTTATAGAGCGTTCCAATGGGCCCCACTGAACAATGACACACTTCAGGGATGCTGTTCAAAACCTCAAATGATCCCCTTCTTAGTGTGCGCCCCTTTATAAAGCTGCGCGCGGACATATGAGATAGCCCCTCCGTCACACAGAGACCAAGATGGTCTACGTTTTGCCTTCTGGCCGATTTCCTGGGGTAAAATGACTAACTCTGAGGACTACACCCGAGTAATAATTAAAATCCCTGACCAAATCCCTAATGACTTATATGTGTCCTGTGCAGTTTTGTCTCCCCTATCTAAGATACTATCTTATATTTCTGTGAGTGAAATAGTTTTTGAGATATTTTAAGTAGAAGGGGTGGGGACCACTATGGATGATGATGAAGGTGAAAACTCCTTTAATGACTAAATGGTAAAATATCCTATAACGATGGAGACTTGTAAATATGCTACGGAATAGTGAATAAAATCCCCTTTCCAAGTAGATATAATTTATAACTTACTACACTAGGGTTCCCAAGAAATAAATTACTGAATTTATAACTAAAGCCCACATCGTGGTATTTAAGTATTCCCCACCAGGGGAGAGAGAAGCCGGCCGTACTGACTGGGGTGAAAAACGATATCTGAGGTCAACATTTCGATCTATTGTTAGGTGAGGTCACACCGCTATACATTTTTAGGTGTTACCGGTACACGCTGCTTCCCGCAAAAACGTGGCTTTTACACTGCCACAAAAGAATTTGAAATGATCAATTTTTTAATTTTTTTTTTAATAATTAAAATAAGAAGTCATCCAGATGTAGACATTTTGTTTAAGAAGAAAACCTCAATGACAGAAGAAGTCTCCGAATAGACCAGAAATGGTGCCGTAAACTACAAAAGATTGCTGAAGACTTAACTTTTGTTCTAGCAGAATTCATCAAATGGTTGTTAATTTAAACTTAATAAGTAGTTAAATTATTTTTTTTCAAGTCTTAAATTAAAATTTAATTTAAAACAATATTTTGATTCTGTTGAATTTATTATGCTAAAATAACCGATTAAGTTATTTTGCTGTAACTGAGTGGGGTGAGTTGAGCCCTAAGTATAATTGGGATTTCCAAAGGTGCAATGTTTTATTGTGGTAATGTGCATGGGCAATAAATTTTACACTTCCTGTTTCTCAAATTTAGCCAGACAACACGGCATTGTCATCATATTATAACTTTTAAAAAGTTGAAATATCTATTAAATGTGCATAGTCCTAATTGTTGTGCGCTGTATGCAAAACAAAACAACTGCAAATGAGAATACAGGAAGGAAAGGGGCCACTATCTTTTTTAATAACTCATAAAAGAGTATCAAGCAATTAACACTTACCAAAATTTTAGCTTCTCACCTTCGTGTGGCACAAAAATAACTTGCCATAGTGAGTATGGAGTATGATATATCTTATATCATACAGGCCTTTTCAACAAAGAATTGCACTTGAAACACTTGTTAAGATGTTGAATCCCACTTCCCATCATCTATCCATCTCAGTCTACAAATGGGCCATCTTCCCTTTGGTTTATGCCTGTAGACTACTTTTTCTCTATAATCTGGCATCCTCTTTAGGTGTCCTGTACTGCGCAGCCTGCCTTTTTTAATTGCCTCAACTATGGTTGAGTCCTCTTACTACTGGTATATTTCTTAATTTGTCATAATCTCAGTTTTCTTTGTTTTCCTTGAGAGGTTTCTGATTCCTAGTAGATTGAAATTTGAACAGTTGCCTCCTTTTATCCTTTAAAATATTATTTTATTTTTTTGCAAGTTCTAATGTGAAAGTGTTCAAAGGTCTGTCACTTTTTAGTATAGTGACACAAAACTAGAATTAGAAAATGGGGAAGTTGTAATTTGATAAAGAATTCACAAATGAGACCTAATAAGAATGTTGTCATAGTTGTGTATTCAAAAGGTGCAATTTTATTTCAAATGTGATCAACATACAAAACATTTTAATTTTTAAATGCTAATTGTAACCTTAACCCTTTTTTTACATTGTTAGTTAGGTAGTTTAAGTAATCTACAGCTTACCCATTTTGATATAAAATGACACATTACATACATAATTCAGGCCTATTGCTAACCATGAATCAATAGAAATCAAAATATGTTTTATAATTTAATTTCTATCCGCATTCTCTAATTATAAAAATAATTTACTCATACTTTAAATTTAAAAAGCTTTAATATTAAATGATAATATTAATTTTTTTTTAAACTTGAGATGGAAAAAATAGCTTATGAATTACCCTAGTCAATAACTGTTACAAGCATAATAAAAATGTTAAGTCCAAATGGAAATATTTAGTCATTTTATCTTTAATAATTTTCAGATAGAAAATGTATTTATTTATTTAAATATACTTTTATTCATACTGTTATAGACACTGGCAACTGGTGTTGTCCAGTTATACCTGGCGGACCAAAATGATCGAAATAAGTGGACAAAAAGATTTTGTGGTGTTGCCTGCTTTGTAAAGGACAGCTCCAAAAAATCCTTTTTCATCAGGGTGTTTGATATTAAGGTACTGTGTCTTGCAACATAATAATGTTTTAAAATTGTTTAGGATATTTAATCTTTCGCAAAGATTTTATTTTGTAAAGCTTTTTTATATCAATGTATTTATAAACCAACATTAAATTGTGAACTGCAATATTGAGGATTAAATTGAGTTAAAATTATAACTTTTTGTATAAGAAAGCACTGTTCTGGAAATACTTCTTTTTTTATCTTGTTAAAGTAATGCCTTAAAAAAAAAATCTTCTTCTAAGAATTATTTGCTACTGTTATATTGAGCTATTTAATATTCAACAAAAAGAGGCACATGTGACTATAATTATTAATTTAGAGCATAAAAGTAAAAGTCTAACTAACAGTAAATCAAATATTAATTTATCTCAAACACAAAATGAGGATTTTTAAAATTCCTTTATAAATTTCTCTAATAGAAGCATCAAATGATCTGGGAACAAGAGTTGTACACTCAGTTCACCTACAAGACACCAAGGGAGTACTTTCATACATTTGAAGCTGATGTATGACCATTTTTTACATTAAAAATCAGTTAAGAATGATCATTTTCAAACATTTAGGCAAAAACAAATGAGATAGTCTTTAAAAATGCCAAGAGTAAATAAGCAATTAATATATTTTGATCTACTAAATGTTTAACACAATTAAAATTGGTAATTTTGCAGAGATTAAATATTTAAAAATTTTTACCAGACATGTCAAGCTGGCTTGAACTTTGCCAGTGAAGATGAAGCAGCAAAGTTTAAGAGGGTTGTTGAAGGAAAAATGACTGAACGACTCAAGAAAAAACAAGGTTTTTTTTTCCTTAAAGCAATAGTCTTTACACAACAATCCATTTAAATATGATTTTTTTTAATGCATCACCTTCTAAGCAAACTCAAAGAAATACGAATCCTGAACCAACTTTTGTTAATATCTTGAGGATAAATATTGTAAATAAGCAGATATATTAAAGTAATATAAATAATTTTCTTTAAAGCATGCAGCGCCACATTAATTATTTAAATTAAAATGAAATGCAATAGATTTTAAATTATTTTGATATTAAATGTAAAGTCTAGTAAAATTTTGTGGTTTGTTGTAAAGAATATGTATTGTAAACAACAGTACCGCACTGAAATTGTCCATAACTTAGACCTGGGAAAGGCAGGCTATGGAATAAACGCCTTATTACAATAAACAAAACAAAAAAAGGGTAAATTTAGATATATTGCATCAATTTGCTGCAACTCAAAAAGAATTGTGTGCATCATAAAAGATTCCTGAGTGAAACATAAAATTCATAAAGAAATATATTCAACATTTTTGTATCATCCAGAAAAGCAAACAGGAAAACGGAGAACTGTTGCCCAAAGGCCTGGAATGGATGCCAACAGCCCACCTGCATTAGTTCCAATGAGTATGTAAACTGAAACGTTAACTTTAAAAAATTTAGTTTCTGGAAAAAGCATTTCAATTATAATTTACTTTCAAATAACGAGTCCCCATTTCTTGGTCTATACAACATATTAATGTGTTAATCTCAATTTATTCATATGCATTAGTTAACACACATTATCATCTTGTTACGTTGTTAATAATTTCATTACTTTCTTGTTTGAGGCATTATTTTAAAATAATGGCTGTGTTAAATAACCCCTTCAAAGTTTTTATAGTTTGATATATATGGATTGTAGATGATACTATTTACAGCTGTTTCGAAAGCTTATGCATCAAGCTCTGGACAAGACATTCTTTATTCGACATCAATGGATACCACAGTCACTAACTTACTCTAGCTTTTAACATACATTTGAAATGTGCAAGGCTTCGGGGGCTTTCTTTATTTTGACCAATTTTATTTTTATCATCAATCAATATTTATTTAAACCCTTGTTATTTAAGTTTCCTTTATAACTAAACTGGTTCTTATCAAAATCCTATATATTTTTTGTGATAATGTACCAGTAATAATGTCATTAACAGAGACTTACTTATATTATTTGACTAACATCAGGACCTAACGTGTCATCTGCCCCAGCATTACAACCAGTCAACCTCAACACAGATCTTAACCGCAGTAATAATAACATAAATACTGCCGGCACTATTAAAAAGGGCAAAGAAAGCAAGAAAGACGCCAAGAAAAAACTCACTAAAGAAGATATAGGAGCACCTTCTAACTTTGTGTATGTTTCATTATCAATAGAATTTTTTTCTCTCTCTTATACCAAGCATGATCCTCAAAAATAAGAATCTGGGTCTAGAATCAACTGAAATATTATAGCCATTTTTTAGTGTCAACTCAGGGGCATGGCTTATTAGTATCATTCTATTTAAAAAGGATTTAAGACATGGGTTTCCCAAATTTGAGATAGGATAAAATTAATCAGAAAGTACTAGCACGTCATTAAATGGCGAGCTTAGTTTATGCTATTGTAAACAGCATCCTTAATTAAAGCTCATCTCTTTTTAGAAATTATACAAAGTAACAAATGAGATTACGGTTTACTACAGTAATGCAGGAAATACCTACACTACAGATTTATTATACTGGTGTATATATAAAACAGTGAGGAAATTAAAGTGAATTTAGCTATTAATAATTTCAAACACAGAAAACTCTGAAATAATCAACTGATATCACTAAGGATAAATACATTTTTTTAAAATTATTATGCCCCAATCAACATTATTGAATAGTTAGCCCATTAGTGAAATAGCGGAATATTATTCCATCTACCTTTAAGTTGAAGATAGAAATTGACTGAGTGGAATGTGAAATACCAATTACGTGACCTCGGTACAATTTCTATTGAAATGACTTCATTTTTGTTTAAGGCTTTCTCACTTCTGATATACTCTAATTAAAAGTATATTTTGTCTTATCTACAGACATCTTAGCCATCTAGGTTGGGATCCTGAAAAGGGATTTGATGTAAGTTATTTTGGTGTTCTTAAAATATCTTTTATGCAGCATAGTTAATAGAGAAAATATGTTTGCAAGGTTTTTAGGGGATTATACAAATTATTATTATTATTGGGTTTTAATGATTCTTTCAAATAATAATTGACAAAATAAATACCATTCTACTGCAGTCAAATCTATTTGACACTCTGGGTCTCTGAAAAATGTAAACCTTGAATCATAGTTCCAAACCAGATTGCTCAAAAACAATAATATTTTTTTGAAAATTATCAATTATATAAAATATTATAAAAATGTTATCTTGATTTTTTCTTTGAATTATTTAATGTACCAATGCTTAAAATGTCACATTGTCTATGGTATTTTTTGGGTTTGTGTATTTCACTGTCACTTTCAAGCCATTTCTGGATTGGCCAGAGCAGATAAGGGATTGCAAAACATACTTCCATTTTATTTTGTTTTCAATTACAGATGAACAACCTTGAACCTGAGATGCGCAACCTCTTCCAGTCTGTTGGCATTGCACAAGATCAAGAAGTTGACAAGGAAACTGTAGATTTCATCTATGACTTTGTGGAAAAACATGGAGGAATGGATGCAGTCAAAAAGGAATTTGGTGGCTCAAAATGTAATTTAGTAAATTCCGTTTCAGTACTGCTGCTCAATTTCCTGATCAGGAGAGATAAAGTGGGGGAAAACTTACATAAAGGGCTTCCATATCTTGGGTTCTTAGGATGGTGCTGGCCCCATCATTAGTCAAAGGGATGAGGCGTTGGGGGAGTGGGGGAAAACTAACATAAAGGGCTTCCATATCTTGGGTTGTCTGAGGATGGTGCTGGACCCATGATTAGTCAAAAGGATGAGGAGTTGGGGGAGTGGGGGAAAACTAACATTAATTGCTTCCATATCTTGGGTTGTCTTAGGATGGTGCTGGACCCATGATTAGTCAAAGGGATGAAGGGGAGGGGCATTTTTTCACTGTTTTTCTTTTAATCCCTTAAGGTAAGTTATATCTAAGTGGTTGGTAGGTTCCTTTGGAAACTTTAATCTTTATATTTATTTAATGCTTACAAAGATTGAATGTTTATTATATTAATTTTATGAAGTGTTTATTTTATCAGTTTTTAAGAAAAAATGGTTTTAAATGGGTTTTTCTATATGTTTCAGCCATGCCTCCTCCACCCCCACCTGGTTCTAGAATGAATGCACCTCCCCCACCTCCTAACAGAACCCCTGGGCCTCCTCCGCCACCTTCTAGAGTTGGACCAACAGCTCCACCACCCCCAACACGTGCTGTACCAGCTCCACCAAGAGCTGCAGCTCCTCCACCTCCACCACCATCAAGACAAATGCCAACTCCCCCCCGTGCCCCCTTTTCAGCCCCACCTCTGCCACCACCAAATCCCCCTCCTGCTATGAGTGCACCACCCCCTCCTCCACCTGCTGGTGGCCCTCCACCACCACCCCCTCCACCACCACCACCTTCATCTGCAGCAGGCGGCGGTGACAGTCGAGGTCAGTTGCTCTCTGCTATCAGGTAAGTCTTACCAAACATGAAAAAAAAACCTACAAGAAATATGTAACCAAATCATATATATAACCTGGCCCTGATTGTCAGTAGTGTAGCTAGGGTTAGTGCCCCTAGAGCTAAGAATTTATTTACCCTCCTTCCACAAGTACATCTCTGCAGTTGGCTAGATACGCATCCCCTCTTTATAAAGAATGTTGTACTGCCCCGTTCTTACGTCAGGGTTGATGTTTTTTTTAATTTAATGCTTTCTTTTCAGGTCAGGAGCACAACTGAAGCCAGCAGCTCCAAACGCAGATGGCCCCAAACCCGGTGACTCCAGAGATGACCTTTTAAATGCCATAAGAATGGGAGCAGCATTAAAAAAGGTCAGTCAGTTAAATGATGGTATAAATGTTTTATTTGGCATATGACTACTAGACGCTGCAGAATTTTTAAAGAAAGCTGTCTAAAAAATTTCTTAAACATCCTGTGACAGATATTCTATCAATTTTAATCTACACCTTATCATGACTGTCAAGTACAGAAACTGAATGTCCCAACAATAAAATAGCTGAACTACCGGTATCTATTTTAGTTATAACTTAAATCAGTACGAGTCATTTTATTTCAAATCCTCTCACTTCCTTTTAACTTATTTTTGACTTAAACCCTCCCATATGCCTTTTTATGTTTATGTGCTCTGTGATATTTCTCTTCTTGGAGGCATTATGCGTCAGCACATGAGGCATAGTCTCACGGCACACCAATGTACCACTGCAAACCAGTTGCAGAGCTCTGATATTTTGACTAACCTTTGAATCATAATAACAGAAGTTTAACAACAGCACATTGTCACTAATTTTCACCGTGGTCACAGTGAGCATCAACAATGAGTATTAGAACTGGTTTTAAAATCAGATTCAAAATCATCTTCAACTATCATCAAGATCACTTTCCGGATCAAATGAAACAGATTTTAGATGGGTCTGTTGTTGATGGGTTGTTTAATAATCTGATCTTGCTAATAAATATTTCTTAAGAGCTTGGGGAGCCATACTACATTCTAATTATAACTTATTTATGAAAGAAGTTTTTTTAATTTTTTTTAAATGCCTAATTTAGATAACAGTCACACAAAAATAGCAGCAAACTTTAGAAGTTATGTGTTTATTAGTTTGCTTGCTAGAGGCACAATACAGCCAAGAGCCAGGGTTTGCCAACCTGGGTTGTGAGGTAGCATTTTAAGGGGTGCTAGATTTGGAGAACAAATGAGCCTTTGAATTTTAATATTTTTTTTTATACAGACATTTATTTTATTTTGTTCTTATTTTACACGATGTTATTAGCCACAAGTTAATTCCTTTTAAAAATTCTACCAATTTCTCTTCAATTCAATAAAAAGTTCAATTTCCATTTTTATTAGTCAAATAATTTGTAGGCTGTGGGCGACATGTAAAAAATAGGTTGGGTGTGAAGAAGATAGAAAAGGTTGGGAAATTCTGAGTTATTCAAATATTTGTTCATGCCCTTTCCGGGTGAGCAAAATTTAGATAAATTACTAAAACTAGGTTTCTAGCATTGGTTATCATTTAAATTTATAAGAATTTCAAAGGTTTCTCCCAAAATTATTTTGTTGCAGAATGCTTTCTGATAGATCTTATTTACATATGCCCATTTGCTGTTGCATTTTTTATTTGACCCGTCCTACCTACTACTATTGAAGCTCCGCCAGACACAAATTGAATAAATAATAAAAGTTACATTTTTTTACACCTATACAACTAAAACTAAAAGAAAAGTTTCATATAAGGCACTTTTTACTTTCTAGCAACCCTTTATGAATTCAATTCTTTGTTTCAAATTTCTTTCTTTACACATCTTTGTGCCTCTGTTTATGTGTTGTGGTTTGGGGGGAGGGGGTGTAAATAAATAAGTTTATTTAGCTTTTAATCAAAAGTAACTTATCCTTTCTTCTGACAAAAAAATCCCACATTTCTACACAATTTAAAATTAATCACTAAAATCTTTCATGGCAACATTGCTTATAACTTAGGTTGAACCTGCTGAAAGGCCAGCATCTACAACAACCTCCAGTGATACAGACGGTTTGGTTGGGGCTCTGGCCCGTGCCCTGGCCAATCGCCAAAAACAAATCCATGGATCAGGTAATCCTTATCGGAGGCCAGGCAATCCCTTGCGATTTTGTTTTATATTTAAATCCCTTTTTGTTGTTCCTTTCACCTTCCATCCAGGTGCTCACACTGAACTGACTGTACTTCTCATCATTTTGATGGCATGCATTCGATTTTTTTACAGTTGGATTCTAATCCAAATTAATCAGAAAATTTGTTCACCACTAATTTCTGTGTAATATTTATTTTAAATTTGATGTATGAGTTAAAGCTGTCATTGGGCAAGCAAGACAAGATTGTTTTTTTTAAATATAATTTTTGAATGTCACGGAAAACTTTTCATTATAAAAAAAATCTATGTTGTGCTGAACTAATAGTAATTTCTTTATCAACAATTTTGTTTTGTAGTTTTTACATTAGTTGTTTGTCCTTCATCCCTGCTCCTTGTGACTCTAACTTGTCCATGTTAACCAACTTTTCCAGTTTTTTAACAGCTTTTAATAGCAGTGTTTTATATTTTTATTAATTGCATATGATTATTAACCACTCAAAGTTTTTGAATTAATAAATAATTTTTTCATAGGTAACAGCTGACTGGAATTTCTTGAAAATTTAAAATTAATTACAGACAAAGCTTATTTTTCACTTCACAGATATCAAGTTAATGTAACTTAAATTTGAAATGCAATATATATATTATTTTTATCCAATAATTTCATTCTTTTATATCTTCACCAATTTTGTAAAATATAATATTTGTAAATAATGAGATCACCACATCATCTGATGTTGAATTTAAAAATCAATTACAAAATATTTAATTGTCCAATTTTCAAACGAGACATTTTTAAATAGTTACCAAAAAATTTTGTCCTGGAGTTTAAATTAAAGTGAATAAAAACACAATTGGTTTACTGTGGCAACATTATTTTGTAAAACTGATCTTCTTTAAATAAACATTAGGTCTTTTACTATCTCTTCAGGTCAGCGTAATATTTGCTTCTCAGATAAAGAAGATAGTGTCACTATACACTTTTGCCATGACAATATGAAAATAAAAAGTTGATTTCCTCACTGTATAATGCGAATAATATTATCACATTTTTTTTGCACAGTTGTTCTCTTTTCTTTTCAAAATCTTTTTTTTTGTTTATGGCAATAAGAATAATGGTGGAAATTTGTTAACTGGAAAAAATTGCGCTAAAGTCCTTGTTAGGATGTCGCCTTCTGTGTCTTTTATTGATAGGGCTTTAAAAAGAGAAACAAAATGTCTTCAAACTGCTGAACAGGAGTGATAGATTTTTAATATTTTGCCTGTTGATCTGAAGGAAACTAATTGCCAAGTTGGCATGAGAATTGCATTCATCATTTTGCGATGCCAGTGATTGGTGTTTGATCCTTTTGACAAATGGCAATCCTTATAATAGCTTGCAAATGACTTGATATTTCAAGGTCGATGGAACGGATGAAAGACCTGCAAGCAACAGCCTTATTGAAATGGATGGCCTGGCAGGAGCCTTGGCCAAAGCATTGGCCAGCCGTCGTCCAGCCTGTGTAAACAGTGGTGAGGAGGCAGTTTTCTGCTACAAAAATATTTTTAAGCTGCTCACTAATCAATCCAAATACTGGACACCTATTATTGCTTAAAAATATTGGTCGTCATGACTTTCCCACAAACTGGCCTAGTCACATATACTGCTTCTTTAATTTAGTTTCTTCTTTATATTTTAGCCAGCTAATAGTATTAACAAAATTATTTATTTTCTAATTTTACTTGCTCTTGATAAAGTAGTTAGTACAGGCACAATAACAGGATATGGAATTTTCTGTATGTAAATATGTAGATTTTTCTTTAACATAGTTTTTTAAAAAAGAGATCTTTATACCGTTTCTTGACATCAGAACTTGAACTAATGCTTCTCATCATCATGGGTGAAGCGAGTAACTTTCTAATGTTTTATTTTTTTAAATAACTAAAAATTAACAACAATATAAATCAGAATGCTAAGCAAAATATGTTATTTGGCAGGTATGTTTAGGACTTATATCTATAACAGTTCAAAGAATCAGTATTCCAAATTGGTTTGGGAATAAGAAATAACTAAAAAATAAAAACCCAGCCATGTTAATGATCATAATTTAGCTCCCTTGGAAATTGAAGCAATAAAATTCCTTTTTTTTGTTTTTAACCATTGCAATAGCATTTCAATACATTTTATGATATATTTAGCCTTGCTGAAATCTTACATTCTTTGCATATATAGTACTAGTTTGCCATTAATGCTCTAGCAATCTCACTTTTTTATCACTAGTAAGTTTTGACCCAACTGCTGTTTGCCTGCTGTTACTTGCTTTGTAAAAGAAACCATTATTTCATGTTTATTACTGCTACTACTGCAATAAGATTAAAACGGGAGATCTTAAATGTTCAAAGCAGATTTTTTAACCATGAAAAAGACAGACATTCAAAACATCCTTGTAAAATGGTCTTTATTCCAGTCGGGCCATTCCGCCCCTGAGACAGCCACACCCACCCTTCCACTCGATTGACTATGTGAGTGAGGTGGCATCAGAAAAAGAAACACCTGGCCTGCTGGGGTGCTGCTCGCACAGCAACCGGGCCGGACTTTCTAGGGGCTGGGGTGGATATAGTTTACGTCTCTATGTCCCCCCTTCCCACCCCCGGGAGGATGCGTAGGTGTTTAACAGATTCCCTCTAATAGTGTTTACGAGGTTTTCTGCGGTGTGACTAACTCATACCGCAGCTGGGGGAGAAGAGAGGTTGCCTAGGAGCAGTACCCTCAAAGACTGCATTTTTAGAATCATCGGTGAGGGTTGCCACGTTCCCTAACTTCATCCATATGCCAACTGTAATCATGTCCCAACCTGTTTCTGCGTTATTTTCTACTGTACTTGGTAGGAACTAAGCAGCCGTGCTCTTTCTAACACAGTTTCCATGCGTTACCTTTGCCTTCGCGTGCAGGTCCTCTACACGGTGATACTGTTCCCTGGGTAACATTTCAGGGGGTTTGTGGCAAACGCCTCTTTATCGACATGCCATTTTTGCGACGAACATGCAGGATAATGGAAAATAAAAGATGCTTCCATTGCCTGCCTGCCAGCATTAAATGTGTAGCTACAATAATTATTAATGATAATGTCAGTGTTGTTCAAAGTGGCATCCACATTTCGAACAATTTCTGGTTTGTATGGAGCCATTTTTTTAATTAAATTCTAACAAACTTCGTATGATATAAACAGCAGGTAATTAGCATATTAATCCAATAGAGTTTCAGAAATATTTCTAAATATTTTCACGAATCCCCCACCCCCCCTTTTTTTTTCCACCATAAAAAAATTAAGACACTTTTATCACATTGTCATATTTATGCCCCCTCTCCCCCCTTAAGTGGTCTGTTCATTATACAATAAGATTTTTTTTAGTTGTCTTAAACTGAATTAAATATCTTACTTTCACCTAACTACCAATGGAAGCTCCATGGCATCACTAGACAATAATGAGATGTCCCTTAAACAAACAAAAAAAGGGGGTGCCCCCCCCCCCCCCCCCCCCCCCCCACCCCCCCGGCTATAGATACAGATGACCTTAGAATCATTCAATTTTGTACTCATGTAATTTCTTATAAATATTTTGTTTATAGTGTGCCCTGCTTCCTTTTCACAACTGGCCCTCCCCCTACTCAACATGTTTTATGTTAATAGTACTGAGCCCACAAAAAAATAGCTATCATGCAGTGAGCGTCTTGCGTGATGGTTTAACTCAGGTAAAAAGTTTGAACTTTTTCTTTAGGGGGAGGCAAGTGTTATATTAATTAAAGAGCCATGACTATGGTATAGGACTGTCTGTAGGCCTATTGTTTAAACGCTGGCAAGTAGGTTGTAGGACTATCTGTAGGCCTATTGTTTAAAGGCTGGCATACATTATAGAAAATGAGAAGTTAACTCTTTTTTTTTTTGGAACACTTGGACCCACCGGGTATTGCCCGGACCCAGTGTACAAAAAATTACATTCGGTTAAGCCCTAGTTGATTATATTTTGAAAATGGTACGTTAAAATTTAGTTTCCAACATTCCTATCCATTGAAATTGAAAAAGCTGTAAGGCCACTGGCTTAAATAAATGTCAAAAAATGAGTTCAGTTATCAACACCAAAACAAAAGCCAGTGATTTCATTGTTAATTGTTTCCTCCTTTATGAGCATTTAATTTAAGTCAGCCGTTATTAAACATGTTGTTTTCTTTGTACCACTGTTCTTGGCAGCCTCCGCCCAACTTGTTTATTTGATGAATCATACTAATAATCTTTTGACGATATCCCACACAGTATCTTGAGACTTTCATTTATGTGCCACTGAACGGCTTGTGCTGAATCTACTTATACTAACCCTTGCACACCTTTTATACTATATATATTTCCATTTTGCTAACCATTTCATTTGATACATGCTCTAACTTTCTTGTAGCTTAATGTTTGCCTCTCTACATTTTTTACACACCATAATAATATCATTAATTTTTTATGAATCATATCATTGTAATTATAGCCATTTTCATGAATTGTAACCATTAATAAATCCCATATGTTAATGAAAAGTCATTTTATTGAGCTTTGTGTGGATGTTCACATTGAATGAGTCCTTGACAAAAATTACCTACATTCAGCCTAAGTTAATTTTTTTTTTTAATTTTAAGAGATCAAAATATTGGCTCATCAATAATGATTTAAAAAGTGTGTGACCGAATAGTGGAGAACTTAAAAGAACACCCCTGTAAAATGGCAGGATCACGGCTAACTTCACAATACAACAGAACTCCTTTTAAGTCACACTTGAATTGGTAGCACACTAGCAAATATGTACCTTGATAATAATTGTTTCCTAAGCTAAACACGTCTACATTTGTATCTTAATGTAAAACATCCAATTCACACCTTCCTTACTATAATTCAAGTGTATTTTTGCATTTGTCTTCTAATGGGATTGCCAGCTTTGTTTTTATTTTAAATTACATTATGATGTTTTTTCAAATGCCTTCTCGTAAAACATTTTCCATTTTAAAACAATGAATAATGATAAAATTCAACTCTTTTTTAAAAATAGTATTTTTGCTTTGTTTTTTTAAATTACTTTTTAACTTTAACACTTTAG